CCGCTCTGCTTCCCATCCCCAGCGGGGGAGGCACAGGACAATAAAGAGACAAAAGATGGGAAAGGGTCAGGTCGGGAGCGTGGCTGGAGTGCGCTGTGCTAGCCCTGCCTGTGTCAGGAAGCAGGGAGCACATCCTTTAGGGTTACCGTACGTCCGGGTTTTTCCAGACACGTCCTCTTTTTTGGCCCCCTGTCCTCCTGGCTGGGTGGGTTTTTAAAATGCAAGCAAATGTCTGGGGGTTTTGCTCTGCCTTTGCTTTTCCCCAGCACTTGCAGCTTACCTGCTTGGGGCTGGGAGCAGTGAGCCAAGGTGATTGGCTGTCAGGGGGTCATGTGCTCTGTGCGTGGGCCCCAGCAGCCACTCGCGAGTAAGAGAGACAGAGAGTGTACATGTGTGTGCATGCATGTGCCAGCTGTGCAGGCAACAGGGCTGGAGGGGGCAGAGGGCTGCAGGTTGGGAGTGAGGGGCAGAGGCAGGGCACAGGCATATCACTGCCCCCTCCCCACAATCCTCCCCGCTTTGCTCCCTATCCCCCCACTGGGGTGCTCGTTTTTGATACTGGAAACACGGTAACTCTATATCCACACAACCTCCAGACTGGGCTTGCTGCCTTGAAGCGCGCCTTGCCCGCTCAGCCTTGCACCACAAGGGATGTAGCCACTGAAATGGTCCTCAGCCCTCCAAAAGGGAGAGCATGCCTGGGTGCATCACTGAGGCCATGCAGATAGTTCATTTAAGTCCGTCCCGTGCTTGTTCCAGCCCCAAGAACAGGGGCAGAAGAAATGACCATCACCCTGGCTGTCTTTATTTAAGTCGGCCCTTGCCGAGTGCTACACTGTTGGGAAGGTATCCAGGTTGTAGCCGTATTGGTCTAGAGGAAAAGGCAATCAGGATTCGTAGTAGAGACAATATCTCCACTCGTAGATAGAGATGATAATGTTGGGAAGGCACCTTGCATATAGAGACACTAGGCCTGTAGTTTGCTTGAGCTGAGCAGGATGGCAGGGCCCTGCTTAAATGGAGATGGCGTCTTGAGATTTTCTACTGCTGCTCGGTACCGTGATAGCTAATGATCGCCTGCTAACCTCAGTGATCTCTAAGGAAACTAATGGTCTCGTCCTTGTCCCTCTGAGTGACTGTGTTCAATACGTTACCAATCCCTTTGTGCGCATCATGGAGTGAATAGTTCTGAAGTTCATGTTTTCCCACGAAGAGAAGATGTAAAACTTCTCGGAGCCTGTATCATGACCAAAATGCACCTCTTCTTTGTGCAGATGCAGCCCCTGAAGTCATTAATCAAAATAAAGCCATTCCAATGCATGCAGATTCTCTTAATGAAACCATTAGTGAAGGGCAGGAGACTGAGGTGCCTAATTGCTGGTAACGTGCCAGCAGTCAAATTTTCTACATCTTGTCTCCAGAAAGGTCTTGGGGAATTTCTGCAGGTTTTTGTAACCTTTGTAATACCAGCTCTACATCAAACCCACTTAGACTTCAGATTCAGCTATAATGATCTGGTGGAAAGAGGGACACAGAAATGACAGATTGTTACTTAACAGCTGGCACATCAATTCTGTGCCGTACGACACAGAAAGCAGGAGGTATCATTTGTAGTGGCTGTCTGTGCTTTTTTTTCCCCCTTTTCAAGGCATAGATCATTTTCTTTTGTCCCGTGAAGAGATAGCATCTGATAGAGGGGCGGATGAACCAGAAGAGCCACGGGTTTGATCAAGGCAGGTTACTAGATTTCAGGGCTGTAATGATATCACCTGTTTTGGCAACGCTGTTGTTTTGGTCCAGGCTCAGGTTTAGCTGCAGTGTGCAGCAAACTCTGATGTGAGAAAGCTTATGCTGTGCTATCCTCACCACCCCCCTGCTGCAATAGCAGCTAAGGTGAGCGGCAGTGATGCAGTCAGGGCCCCAGAGCTCGCCAGCCTTGGGAGCACAGCATTTTTCCTGCTGATCGGGTCAAGAGCTTATAGCTGGGCTCTGATGCCTCCCTCTCATGCTCTGATCTATGGCCTTCTTGCTAATTTTATTTAAGTTTTAGGCCACTGATTACCTAGTGTTTTCATGCTTGAATTGAGCTCCTGAATAAACTCTGATGACTCGCATTCGTGTCTGTGTGACTTACTGCAGTCGGTGAATCTAGCCCACTGCTAATGGCACTTGCATTTCATTTTATCCTGAGGTCAGGCACTGTGCTGCTGCTTATCACGTGGTCGCACTTTGGCTTGTTTTATTTCTTTTTAATGGGCTTGGTGCTTGTTAAGGTACCATTAGATGAAAACATTGGTACCTTCCTAAGCCACAATATACACAATATGCATCTGAAGCGCATTTCTTTTTCAGGGATGCCTCTCATTCTAAGCCAGTCCCTTATTTCTCTTATCAGTAGTTCACTCCAGTGGCTAAACACAGACTTGATCAGGGGGCGTGCTATTGCACAACTAATTGGTTAATTAAACTGAGACCCCGCTACATGTGCAAAGTACCAGTCATGCCATAAAAGGGTCCAACCAGCTATGAAGTGAGAACTCAAAAATATGTGCTAACTTCAAAGGTGGCTGCTAGCCAGCTTTCATTTGCACTTATAGGGTGCCCTCACAGCTAGGAGATTGCAGAAGCTGTGATCTCGCAGCCGCTAGGAGCGCGGTGCAGGTGGGAGCCCCTTCGGCTTGCTTCCTTCTTGCTGGTGCAGGGGAAATCTGGGATCAGGCTCCCACTGCACTGACAACAGGGCACAATGGCATCTAATAAGCCGTGGCAATTTTGTGGATCGTGCATTAGATCTGGGGCGGGCAATTATTTTGTGTGGATGAGTTTTGGCAAGCCATGGAGAGCTGCACAGCAGGCAGCCAGGGGCAGATAAATACTAATTTTCTCAATTTTTAGGGGCCCCGCGGGCCGGATAGAATGGCCTGCCAGGCTACATCCGGCCCGCGGGCCACATTTTGCCCACCCCTGCATTAGATCCTATTGGGCCTTACATGCACATGGAGAGAGGCTCACTATCAGTAGTTCACTACTAGCTAAAGACAAAAATAAAATCATTCCAAAGCAGAGCCGAGAAAGCCTGAAAAGATGCCCCGTCATTTCCACGCGGTCTCTCACTCCTCCTTCACCTTGCAATCTTTAGTTCACGCTGTTTAACGTTCTCGGGCACGAAAAATAAGTAGAGGCGTTAAGGGATTGAGGCAAAAGATTCATTTCGAAGGACTTCTGATGCTACCAATATCAGAACAGACAGCAAAAAAATGTTGTGTATCTGGGTTTTGAAGCATCTGTCAGAGTTAATCTGTGCACATTGCTTTGGAAGCCTACAGTAGAAATAGCAATAGGTTTTTTATTACGAAATTATTGCAGTCTTTTGAGGACTTCTTTTGCTTGTGCTTGTGTATACGTCTGGCTTGTTTTAAGGTACCAGCATTCAGAACATTTATGAACAAGGTTTTCAGACAAGATGACAACTTAAGCCCCTAAAACCACAAATCTAAATATAGCCTCCTGAGGAACAGAAGTACTGGACACTGACCCGAATCAGTGGGAAATGTGTGCACTTCACTTGTGAAAATCAGGACACTTTGGTGTCTAGAGCATGGACTGAACTGCCTCATTTTAGGTCACTGTTTTTGAAAATATTGGCCATGACTTACAATGTTGGATGCAGTCATGTGTATGAATGCCTTAGGGTTTGTGTGGGATTCTTTCTTGTCCAGAACAGATGATTATTATTAACAAATAATTAATATAATATACATAAAAGGATTAGTATTATTTAATTGGATATAAATTTTTAAACAAAAGAAGGCTAACCTAAGAACAGAGTATTGTAAGATGGAAGCACAATGCATATCTTAAACTAATTAAACTAGTAAAGAAGAAGAAGACTTAAATGGGGTCAGGGTCCCATTTTGTTCCCATAGATACAAACCTATTGACCAGGTGCTTTTGCTGAAAGTTAAGTTCACTTTTTAAGGTTGCAAGCTGCAAAGTTGCATGAAACCTTGAAATTGTACCTAAAAATGAATCTTGGGAGCAGAGGGATAATGAAACCACTTGAACGGCTGTTAGCTTAGTTGAGGGTGAATGAAAAGATTTTTACCTCTTAAGACTTGAATTCAAGCTTTCAGGTTTCCTAGTTCCTCTCCCTACACTTAACAGCATCAGTAATCCTGGCTGGATTCTGTACTTTGTTTTATGACTTAGGAATGCCATTGATCATACTAATTTTTGCTGAATAGTTCAGGTCCGGATACAAGGTTCATGGCTCAGCGCCATCCCTGCGGTGCACATGGATTCAAACATCAACCCCTGAACTTTCAGTCCTGCTCCAAATTTTACAGTTGAGCTCCTTCCTAGGTGTAAAGAGCCCGAGCTCAGGCTTTGACAGGGATGTATGGATCTCATGCCTGGTAGTAAGTGTTTGCAGGACTAGACCTTTTTATATAAGTTTTCCTAGAATATGGGTAAAAAAGCAGGACTTGCTGGAAAAGGAAAAGCTTCCTGAGACCTGAGCCTTCTTGGAATAAATGAAATGTCTTGGCCGTTTTCACTTTCCTTAATTTTTAGCATCCCTGTAGTTTTACCGAAAGAAAAATGTGACCGTTCTACGCTTTGCTTTGCATACAGGACATGGAAATCCTGAACACGGCAATTCTCACAGGGAAGACGGTCGCCGTGCCCATTAAAGTGGTTTCCATTGAGGAAAACAGTGCTGTGACCGACATCTCTGAATTGGTGGAGTGCAAGTCCACAGATGAGGATGTCATCAAGGTACGTTTAGACCATGGGCTGCCTTTCCACAAATTCCTGCCTTTCTGTAAACACCTGGCAAAAGCAAAGGAGAGTCCAGAAATAATACATCTAAGTTTCTGCGGTCATTTTGTCCAAGTTTCACATGGATTAAGAAGGTTTTAAAGTCACAAAAGGAGGTTGGTACCTTCCCTTTGTCATTCCATTGATGTCCAGTTGTCTTTCTACTTGTCATTTGTGCCTTTGCAAATCTCCTTAGATACAATTGTCACATCTAAATAACATTCACACATAATTCGCGCTAGTATTTTAACTGCTTTGGGACACAATACATCCCATGCACAAGGATGACTCAAGATCTGTGCACTGCTTAAGTCCCATTTAAGTTCTAAAAATAAGGCTTAAATTGGGCATGGTCCTAGAGCAAGGAAAACCGAATATTGTCTTGTGACTGTTGCCTATCGAGAAAACAGCCTCACAGTGAGGTCTTTATCCTCCCGCAGATGGTGCATATGACAGACCGTTTGCCAAAAATAATTTTTTTCTGAACTATTGGCTGGTTTTGATGGACTGAGAAAATATTTGAGCTAAAAAAATGGAGAACATCCCAAATCCTCTGACATAGAAAGGAAGCTTCCTCCATAAAATAAAATCCATGTAACTTGAGTGCCTGTAATTCTCATAATATTGCAGGACCTGAAATTGTTCAGCCTTTTTATTTCAGATCCTGCTCCCTTATAAATATTCCTCTACAGATTTTTGTCCCCACAACAGGGATTTTTCCTATTGTGGAGCAGTAGCTGAGTTTTTTTCAGAGGCTTTTAAAAACCTTTCCAGATAACTACTCTGAAGTTAAATTGAAACAAATAATTGAAAGCTAACGCACAAATGTTTGGAGTGGAGGGATTTTTGCAGTGTAATTCCTTCCTCTGCAAAAAAAAATAAAAAAAAAATCATAAAAGGCTCAGAAGAGTACAGAGACTAAGTACTTTTATAAAGAAGTGCAGTATCCCTGGGGGACTGCATCTCGGAGGCGAATGTTAACTGCTGTAAATAACAGTGCTGTTACAAATAAGAGCTGTCAGTGAAAACAAATCTGAACAAAAAGTTTTAACCCATATTTTTTTTTAATTAAAATGTTCTAATTTTCATGGGGAATTTTTCAGTGCAGTGAAATGAACATTTTTATTTCTGTTCCAACAACACCTTGCAGATAAATTCTTATTCTGCGTGTACAGCAACGAGCACACTGTGATCCCCATTGTCATGTAGCTCTTGGTCAGCATCAGAGTAAATATGGTAAGTAAAAGGGTGTTCAAGTTCATACATGATCCTGTGCAGGAAACGAAGCACTATTCTGCAACAAAAATGAAATGGATTTCACCTGAGCTGTATGAACCTCAGAGATTTCACTTCATTGAAGTTCTTGCACATATTTTATTGGTCTCAGCCCTTTGGGATGTGTGTCAGATACCCAGAGTTAGAATGGAAACTGCAGGTGATCAGCACTTCAGTAATTAGTCACTAGGTAATTAAATGCCCAGCAGAATAATCCAGGCAAGAAACCCATGGGTGAGAGGTCTGCCCTGCAATTCGAACAGAAAAGCCCATATATATTCGTTTTTACAATGCCCCCAGTTTGACTGCATTGACATGATTCCCGATAACAGGGCACAATGGAGATCTAAAAATAAAATATGTCTGCAAATAGCAGGTAATACTTTCCCCTGTGATGAGACTTGTCTCTGGGCAGTTCAGCATGTAGTTAGTGTCCTGGTTTGATCTGCTGACTACTTCTTTTTTTATCCGCCTTCCCCCCCGCCCCTCCCAACCCATTTCAGCTCCTGCCAGCACTGTAGCTCCTTTGCGTCCAAATTTACAGTTGATTTCATGAGCTATAAAAGTCCCTGAATGCTCTAGACCTTCACACAATGATCCCAACCTTTTAAAAGTGGACACAAAATTTATTACGGCACTAAAAATCAGCAACAGTCAAGTTCTCCTTTCCTGAGCTGGAATTTACCAATATGATCTATAGATCTGAATCCATTAGCAAAGACGGTGGTGCCCCATCTCCTGGAAACCCAGAAAGAAAGTAGCTGCTTCTCGCAGCCAGAACAAAGGCTAGTCTAAGCCATGGAGAAGGGCAGAGATCTCATTTGAAGACTAAAGAGGCTCAATCCTGCTTCCAAATGTGTGGATATTTCAAAGCTTTGCCCCTTAACCAACCCGAGTTCATATGCTTTTCCATTCTACTGATGGTGCCATGGTCTTCATGTGATTTCAGAAGCCAGCGTAAGCGTTTTGCTCGATGTTTTGTCGTTCCTTGTTGGGCCTTCATGGCGTTGCTAAATGAAGTTGTGTTATGAGATGCTATTGAACTCTCTTCCTGCTATGTGTATTATTGGTAATGGCTCTTGCAGTAGCTTCCAGAGGCCTCATTCAGGAGCAGTGCCTCGCTGAGCCCTGCCCTGAAGAGTGGGCAACCCAATTTCTTTTCTCTTTCAAAGGACATTTGCAAATTGGCAAAGGCGTTAAACCATGATTCAAATGTAATAAATAGGGATTTGTGCACAGAGAGGCTAGACACTAGTGCCATCCCCGGGGCTGTTAGCAGCTCAGATGTGTTTTATCCAATGTGCAGGATCCCAAGCTGAGGAACTAACTCTAGTAAGCTTCAGGCTCTTACTCACCCTGGAAACAATCAGTAGACAGAGACCTAATCACGTGTACAAGGCCACTGTCTTTCACACCCATGCAAGAATTTCGAGGGCTTTGGATTTTGGACCCAGATCCAGATCATTTTTGAATAGCTGTCCCCCGGTCACTATAAGAAAAAGACAAACCTGAACGGTTAGGAGTTGAAAACAGTCCTGAAAAGTTAGGAGTTGAAGATCTGGCTCAAAATCATTTCGGTCCAGGCCCAGCCTTATTTCTAAGTGTGTTTTTTTTTAAACAAGGAACGTATTGCAAGCTCTGCAAGTATCGGAGTTTTCAAAGCAGTAGTTATTGGACTCACAGGTACGTGTCAAGGTCAGAAAACTTGCCTGCAGGCCCACTCTGGAAATCACTTACACGGATGAATCCTGGGCATATTGCTGACTTGTGCGGGACTCCGCACGGACGTGAAGCTATGCAAGCATTTGCAAGGTAGGGTTCTTCCGTAGGAAGGGAGGCACGGTGAGCCTGCTGGAGATTTTGCCATTCAGAATGGCACCACATTTACAAAATGAAGCCCATTCAGCTAAAGTGGACATGATCTGTTTGCTCAAATGTCTGCTATTCATTTGTGTATCCATTCAGATTAAAGCCGGCGCGGTGCAATATGCCGTATATTGCAGCAGAGTCCCAGTTTGACAATAAGACCACTGACAAGGGGGAATTTTCCTAAGCAGATCAGAGAGCAGTTGTGTACTGTGGGACGTTTCTTTGAGAGAGTTTATTTTTAAAAAATTTGTATCCAGACACATATTGCCAGACTCAGCCTGCAACAGCATTCAATTATTGTGAATATATTTTATTATTCATTCCCTTAATATAGCCAGCCTGGAACAATTAACTAATAAATTGAAAGGCCTTTGGTTGCATTTTTTGATAAACCACAAAGCAATCTCAGCAGTCAGCCATGATTTCCAGTATCGCCAAAGGTCAGATGCATTTTAAATCCATATACAGAAACACATATTTGGAAATAAGCAGAGAAAACTCCTGTGAGCAGCTCTCTTCGAGATTTTTATAGAGAGCCATGTAACACCTCTTCTTCCAGCTGGGTAAATTGCCAAACTGAATGCAGCAGGTAGTAGGAGATCATTGGTCTCTCAAGACCTGATCCTGTGCATCATGTATTCACCATCAGAGCTTCTGCTGATGTGTTAATGGTCCAGGATCATTTGAGCTCCTGAATGTCTCAACATGAGCCTCGTAAAGAAACCAGCTAGTACAATGATGCTCTAATAAATATTTACAGTAATAATCTCGATGGTTTGTAGAAGACACATCACCGTACTGTATAGGCAGCAAACAAAGAATTATTTTATGGTGAACTGAAGCTGTGGCTATACATACAGGGAGCATGATCATGTGTTAAATCCCATACCACAACTATTTGGGCTAGATCCTAGGACTTTCTGGGCTCCAGGGTGGGTGAGGGAACACGCTTTAATTAGAGCAGCTGTCAGGAGCCACTCTAATTAAAGCGCCTGCAGCATCTCATGTATTCAGCATCCGCTTGATGCTTGATCAATTCACTTGATGAGCTTCAGTTATAGCGCTCCCGCTGCCATTTGGAAGCGTGGAGATGCTGAATACATATGACACCAAGGCTGCTGGAGCGTGCTAATTAGCAGACTCCAGCAGATTCGATTAATCAAGTCTGTTCGGACACGTTCTAATTAGATTGCACTGGGGCAGGCATCGGGCACATGTATAGGTGCTCTCCATTTCAAAAGCAGAATCTCTCCCAGTTGCCCGAAGCAGGAATGAATTCCCTTTATTATTATTCATCTTTTATCCTTTGCGGGAGGGAAGGGCTATCTGTGAGTGGGAGGTGTGATTATGGATGCCTTAGCAGAGCTGATGTTCTGTCCTATAGCGGGAAGTGATGACACGAGAGCCAGTAATTTCCTGAGCCTTGTACAGAGAGAAGTGTCCATCAGTCTGCGTTTCAGGTGCAGGCACATTATGGTGATAGGTGCGATGGAAATGCTCAAAATAATCAAGGAGGAAAGGCTTCCCACTCAAGCATGCACCTTCTTCACAGGGTGAAGTAGTGCCTGATCCTGTTCACATTGAAGCTGCGCCCAGCTTCCAGTGTAGAATCGAGTCCTGATGCGACCAGTTTTCTGGCCCCTAAACACGGCTTGTCAAGCAATTCAGCGCACTTCACTGACACGTCGCAGGCTTGTCGAAGAAGGCCGGTGTTGCCAAAAATGCGATAGACTCATATACCCATCAAAGGTACATAGATAGTGTCTATTCAGGATGAGCTTGGGGTTTAATCCATGTGCTCCATTGTTAGCAAT